GCATGCGTGTGTTTATATATTACATTAAGAGCTCCCAAAATACCGACCACACATTCACCCAACTCTTCTCCCACGCCTCCCGCAGGACAGACCACCACCCCCGTTCCTTCGGTCACAATGGGGCCCCACAACCAAGAGAAACCCGTCGAGAAAACCGCGGAGGGCGCCGCAGAGTTAGCCCCAGCGTCGGCCTCCGCCTCCTCGCCGCCTCCTTCGCTGGTGTGGCTGAGATCCTGCGAGAAGGAGACCGTCACACCCGTCGAGGGGAAACAGTCAGGTTAGTGGGGAAGCGGGACAGTGATGTAGGTGCGCGTTCGGGGGAAAGGAGGGTGGGTTGGGTGTTCAGGGGGGAGAAATTGTGATTTGGGAGTGTTCAGGGGGAAAAATGGTGGGTTGAAAGAGTTTAGGGGAAAAGAGGGTGGGCTAAGTGTTCAGCGGGGAGAAACAGAGGGTAATCTGGGAGTGTTCATGAAAAAAAAGACTGGGTTGAAAGAGGTTAGGAGAAAACGGATTGGGTTGAGAGTGTTTAGGGAAAAAAGTAGGGTTGAGAATGTTTAGAAGGAAAGATAACAAAAGGGAGTGTTCAGGGGAAAAGGAGGATGAGTCGGGAGTGTTCAGGGGAAAAAAGAAAACAGACGTAGAATGTTCAGGGGGAAAAGAGGGTGCGTTAGGAATTTTTAGTCGGAGGATGAGTTTCAAAATAAGTTACCGAGGGAGAGGTATAAGTTTTACCAGAAATAACCAAGAGAACAAATGGAATAATGAATTTGAATCTGAGTTAAAATAAGAACGTCAAGTGATCGAAGTACAGTTAAGGGATATCATAAAAAAGTACGAAAAGTCCAGAAAAAATATATAAACAAAACTATGTCTTGAAAAGGTAAATCCAAAAGCAAGTATTAACAAAACTATGTCTTGAAAAGGTAAATCCGAAAACAATTCTGAAAACCATACCACAGGAAAAACATAAATCAAAATGACCTGTGAAGCTACTCGATAACGTGAAACAGAGTGTAAGGGAAGACCTTAAGTCAAGGAAAGACACGTGATAAGGTTAACGTCAACGCACCTGTGGTAGTTCGAAAGGTGAGAGATCGTCACCAATAAAAGATAAATGGAGCTGTTTATTCTTGACATTAACGACAAAAAATCTGCGGTTCATGTAAGCATATAGGTTATATGTACATGTTTTTGCCGGCAGTATCCAGAATGAGCAGCTACGTATAGTTATATATAGATCAGTAACGGTATAGATGGATAAAAGTCGATATAATTTTGTGTACTCAGCTTTATGAGTATCGTATCTTTATCGACCTTAGGGTAAACATGCTGACACGGATTTCTGGCTAAGATAAAGAAAATTTTAAAAATACGAATAAGATAAACAGATAGAATGAGCAGAAAATTTAGATGTACTTAAAAAAAAAAAAAAATACACAAGGATATTGATCTCTGAGATTTATGTTTATCGATGAGATGATAAGAGGCAGATATTATTGCTCGTACGAAAATAGCTACAGTCGATAAATGAACATATGAACTAGGTTCCGCAGATGCACGGCTCAGCATCTGTGTCTATAATATTATGACTCATACCACCAAGCCAGTCAAGCCGATTTTAGTGAGACAGAAATACGACCCGAACATCTGTGTGAGGAACCAGATGCCAGATCCCGACGGCGGGTTAAAAGAGGAAAATGTCATTTTTTAGGCTTAATGTTTCCTTCCTAGTTCGCTGGTGGGCTAGATTTTTTTTCTATTTTTCCGAAGGGGAAGAATTTTTGTATGTAAAGAGGATAGGTAAGAAATGAGATTCTGTGGTATGTTATTTTTACTTTTTTTTCTTTTATTTACATGTTTTGTGGTTTGTTGATGTGCTGGTAAGTGGACGAAGGGGGGGGGGGGTTATGGATGGATAGGATAAGTGAAATGGGAAATGGGTAGGAAGGAGGTAAAGAGGATGGAGAGAGGGATGTATAGGATCAGGATAAGGAGAGGGGACATGGGTAGGGAGGGGACTGAAAGGATGGATAGAAAAATGGATAGGATAAAAGCAAGGGGAACAGAAAGAGATTAGAAAGGGAGAAAGGTAAATAGAGGAATGGATAGAATAAAGAAGAGGGAAATGTGAAATGAATAGGGAGTTCAAAGGAATAACAGAGAAGAGATAGGAAAAGAGAAGTGAGATAGAACAGAGGTTAGAAGGATAATTAGAGATAAAGACAGTGCATACGAAGGACACGAGAAGCGAGAATGACTATCTCAAGGGCTTCCGGCGCAAGTACACAGGATTACCGACTTACGCAAGGATTACCCCTGACAATGGGACGACTTTAGCGTGACACCAGGATCGGGTGGGTAGGGCAGCTCGGAATGATTAACACCCTTACAGTTCTCCCTAGTCATCATCAAGGGAGGAGAAGGGAGGGTCGTGGAATGCGATTATCCTGATACCTCTTAGATGATCAGTTGCTGGGTTGTGCCATGGAGGTGGACTCGCCTGGGATCACGTCCTCAGTCGCGTCCTCGTGACTGGGCGATGATTCATGAGGGGCTCGAGTATCCTCTGGCTAGCAACAAGAGTCACATTTTCGTTCATGCGTGGATTCATTTGCGTCAAGGTTAAGAGAGTGCATGCGAGTTATTCCACAGCTTATATTTATCAAGTAATCCATGTAACTAAATAAGAATTCAAATATACATGTTAGGAGTCTTTGCTATGAATTGTAAAAATAAAACACGTTAGGTGTCTTTGCTATGACAAAAATCACGAACCACGCCTTTCTCATATAACTAAATTGCACATACAGCCAAATACAACGAACTCCAACAGCAATTTCCCAAACGTCGAAAAGGCCAGCGGCAAGAAACTGCTAAACGTTTAACAAAATACAAAACGGAAAGTCATGGTGACGCGGGAAGAGTAGAAGACGGAAGGGCGGCGGGAGAGGAAGCGTCGAACTGATAGAGTTCCGAGATCTCTCACGGTATTGACTCTCCTTCCGAGCGTGTGTGTGCGAGTAGCTCTCAAGTGGGAAGGATTTTAAAGACGTCCCCTTCGTGTCCCCGGGGGAACTGACTCCGCCTCGCCCCCCGCACGTGCGCAGGCGTCGCAGCCGATCTCCCGGGGTGTGAAGTCGTTTTCTCCCATCAAGCGTCGATCACTTGGGGTACTTAAGACCAATAAGGAACGAGGAAGTCGTGCTTGCAAGCGGCACTTAGACACTCCAGATGCTAACTTGCAGAAATAGGCTCTGACACGGCATTCGATCAGAGGAAATCAGGTCATTGACATGCATTACTTGATAAGGTCAATGCCATTTTCCAGGGCGTGTGCCGAAGTGGCTGAGTGGCAGGCTGACCCGCAATGGGCCCGGAAGAGTCCAGTACGGAAAGACCCGCTTCAACCACCTGTTCGATGGCTCGTCCTACCTCCACCAGTTCAACATCGCCTCCGGAAAGGTCACCTACCAGTCAAGGTCAGCCACAGTGATGAGATTACATATCTGCTTCATCTGTCGGACGATGCTGTTCTTTCGTATTGTTATCGCTTATCAGTAATTTATGAAATTCTGAAGACTAAAACATGATGGCAGAGAAAGATTTTTTGTCGCTATCACTTATCAGTACTCACTTTTCTGATGACTAAAACATGCAGCAAACTATCAGTAAATTGGATTTTTTTAATGTAACTAAACTAAAGTTAACAGATTGAGAAACTAAAACATGATGACAGAGAATTTGATTTTTCTTATTGCTATCACTTATCAGTACTCGCTTTTCTGAAAACTAAAACATACAGCAAAATATTAGTATATTGGAAAAAAAAAAGTTACCTAAAGTTAAAAGATTGAGAAGTAACGCCCGACGGATGATGTTATAAAACCGGGGGATCCCATTCAATCCGCACTTGAAGGATTTATGTGATACGTGATCATAAACTGAAATTAATCTCCTTTGCAGTTCTGGATTTAAAGTCATGGCAGTTTTGGGGTCGTCATGCCCTTCAAATTTACACAGAAAGCTGACAGTGCGCCACGCAACATATCTAAAATTCAATGATTCATCTTATCATCGCCAATATTAATAAGATAATTAAAAGTAAACGGAATCTATTTCTCCAGTATGAATCAGTAATGTGGAATTTCCCCATTTCCAGGTACCTGCAGAGCGACACCTATAAGAGGAATACAGAAGCCGATCGAATTGTGGTCTCGGAGTTCGGTACAGTGGCGTATCCGGACCCTTGCAAGACCATATTGCAGAGGTAATTGATCAACAATGTTAATGGGCGCTTAACATCGATAAAGATCGCCATAGCAAATGGCATCGGGTTTAATTACTGTTTCGAATCGCACGAGAACCAATCATTAAACGCACCTGCTCATGCCAATCCGCTGCTGTCACTTCTCATTAGCCGAAAGGTTATCCCAGCAGGCAATTCCTTCAGAATATCCTTGAAAGGAACGAGGAACTATACCCTATACGAGAATAAAATCCATTATTTTACATCCATCCTCTTGCGTTCTTAAATCTGAACCACCTTTCCCCCTAAAGGTTCATGAGCAAGTTCGAACCGCCAGGCAAGAACGCATCCGACAACTGCGTGGTGAGCGTGATGCACCTCGGCGACGAGATGTATGCGCTCACGGAGACGCCTCACCTGCGGCGTGTGGACCCCGCCACGCTAGAGTGTGTGGGCGACAGGGCAAGTAGAGATCTGTATTTATCCGAATGCGGAAAGGACCGAGAAAAGACGGCGGTGTTCGACCTGTGTGGAATGTTTAACAACCAATAGTTTTTTTAATGCTTTTGGTTAATGAAATTATTTTATTTCGATAATTATTATTATTGTTATTATTGTTATTATTATTATTATTATTACCATTATCATTAATGCTGCTTCCACAGTGACTACTTCTGCTGCTGCTCCTCTTCTCCTATTACTACTACTACTACTTCTACTTTTATTACTACTACTACTACTACTTCTACTACTACTACTAGTAATACCACCACCAGTACTATTACAATTTCATGTGTATTTACGACAATTTCCCATATGCAATGACAGACGAAACTGGAAGAATATATCGCTGTGAACCAGGCCACAGCGCACCCGCATGTCGACCCAGACGGCACTGTCTACAACATGGGCAACTCGTTCTCTGGGAAGAAAGGCCCAACATACAACATTATCAAATTCCCTCCGGCGAAGGAGGTCGATGGTATGGAGACTCAGTTTTGTAGCGTGTCGGTAATTAAGCAGTTAATTACTGTTAATATCGCGAGCCTTTTTATAGTCCTATGCAGCAATGTATATTGTGCTGTGATTTTCTTAGTGCTAAGATACTATACCAGCGTTTGATACTTGCCCGAAACTAAACTGATCATGCTTATTGAATCATACATTCGCTTATTTCTTCACCAGGGGAGGTGATCTCTTCTCTCGAACAAGCGGAGATCGTGGCCTCCGTCCCCTGCCAGTGGAGGATGTATCCCTCTTACTACCACTCCTTCGGCATGTCCGACGAGTACTTCATTTTCGTGGAGCAGCCCTTCGTGTTCAGCTTGAGGAAGTTCCTCTTCAACCACTTTCTAGGGAAGCCGTACTTGGGGGCCATTGAGTGGTATCCCGACCAGAAGGTACCACAGAGAAGTACTCTGGAGGCAAACTTGAAAAAATTGGTATAATGGAGGTGAAATTTGCTAGATTTTGTGGAATAAAGAATTCACGCGCATTCCATTTGAGACAAAACCCCTCCTTTTTCCAGACTAAGTTCCGTGTAGTGAAACGAGAGACAGGAGAAGTTCTGAAGACGGCGTACACTGCAGACGCTTTCCTGACCTTCCACCACACCAACGCCTACGAGAAGGACGGCCAGCTGGTGGTCGACTTGGCGGCCATGGACGACGGCCAGGTAATCCTGTTCGTCATTTATACATCCCATGTGGATATTTTTATAGAATTTCATATATATATATATATATATATATATATTATATATATATATATATATATAATATGCATATATTATATTTCTTCTTCTTCTTCTTCTTCTTCTTCTTCTTTAAGAGAATGCTGGCAATTTAAAAGTGCCTTCTAGTCCTATTGCCATTGATATGAAGAGGGTGCGACCGCCTGGCTAACCTATCTTCACCCTGCAGGTAATTCACCAGGTGATGCTCAACAACCTAGCGGACCCGGAGTTCGAGTCTCCTCCGGCCACCATGCCAACACATCGGCGCTTCGTTCTGCCGCTCAATGTCGAGGATTCGGCCGTCGACAGTAACCTGGGTAATGACCGATTTCTGTCAGGGGAGAGGGAGGGAGAGACTAGCTTTGCCTTCGTTGTGGATGAATTTATAATGGTCTTTTTTGGCTGTACTGTCTTTAGTAACATGTATAGATATCATTATATCTCTATCTCTCCTCTTTCTTTTCTCCTCCCTTCCTTTTTCCCTCCTCCTTCCGTCCCCTCCCACCCTCACCTTCCTCCCTCCCCGTCCCCTCTCCCCCTCACTTCTCCCTCCTCTCCCCGTCCTTTCCTCCCTTCTCCTCTTCTCCTCCTCTCCCTTCCCCCTTCCTTTCAACTTTCCCCTCCCCCTTCCCCCCTCCCCTTTCCCTTTCTTCCTCTTCCCTTCCCGTCCCCCTTTCTCCCTCTTCCCTTCCCTTCCTCCCCCCTCCCTCACTTTTCCCTCCACCATTTCTCCCTCTTCCCTTCCCGTCCTCCTTCCTCCTTCCCTCCCTCACTTTTCCCTCCACCCTCTCCCCTTCCCCATCCACCCTTTCTCCCTTTCTCCCCCTTCCCCCTCCATGCATCCCTGTGTAACCTGCCTTCCCTCCGCCGCCAGTGACACTCCCCGGCACCAAATGCACGGCCTTCAAGCGCCAGTCTGGAGAAGTGGAAGTCCAAGGGGAGGTCATCGCCGACCAGTACTTCGATCTTCCTCGCATAAATTACCGGTACAACGGGAAGGAATACAAGTACGCTTATGGAGTCGAGATCAATCCGAAGGGCACGGAGTTTGCGAAGGTAAGTTGGTGGATTTGAGAGAAATGTAAGGAAATGTGGAGGGGAAGGGAATGACTGGGTTGCGGGTGTGTGTATACAGGTGTGCGGAGAGAGGGATTGAAAGGGATTGGATTAAAAAGTGATTATATTTTGAATATCGTCTCTTAGTTTCGCATCGTGGTCGGTAATGAATCTCTCTCTCTCCCCCTTTTTCTTTCACCTTCCCCTCTCCCATTCCTTCTTATCCCTCTCCCTCTTCCTCACCTCCTTCCCTCTCTGTCCCCTTCCTTTCCCTCTCCTTTCTCTCGCTCCCTCCTCCTTCCCTCTCCTCCATCCCCCTCCCTTTCTCCCTCTGACTCCGCAGCTGGTGAAGATGAACGTGAACACGGGCGAGACAAAGACCTGGCACGAAGAGGGAAAACTGGTGAGCGAGCCCGTGTTCGTGGCCGCCCCCGACGCCACCAAGGAAGACCAAGGTGCCGTC